TTGAATTGTGGCATGTGTTTTCTTCTCCTTCTACCTTAGATTATCCTTAAGAATATCTTCATTGACAAATACAAATCAATATCAGAATAATATGATGAAATACTTTAATAGACCTGTGATCTTATCATTGTGAATATTTATGCCACTGGTTCAGATTCTTTTTTGCAGTTTCTTTTTTTAAAATTAATTAATTTTATTTATTTTTAGTTTTTAACATTCACTTCCACAAGATTAGGAGTTCCAAATTTTCTTCCCATCTTTCCCCTCCCCCAACCCCAAGACGCTGTACGTTCTGAATGCCACTTCCCCTAATTTGCCCTTTCTTCTATTATCCCCCCATTTCTCTTATCCCCTTCCCCTTCTATTTTCCTGTAGGGCAGGATAGATTTTTATACCCCACTGCCTGTATATCTTGTTTCCCATATATCTTATTTCCCAGTTGCATGTAAAAACAATTTTTAACATTTGTTTTAAAACTTTGGGTTCAAAATTCTTTCCTTTCCTCCCTCCCCACCCATCCTCATTGAGAAGGCAAGCAACTCAATACTGGTTATACATGTGTCATGCCAAACATTTCCATAAGAGTCATGTTGTGAAAACCTATATTTCCCTTCATCCCATTAATACTTCCCATTTATTCTTTTCTCTCCTTTCACCCTGTCCCTCCTCAAAATTGTTTGCTTCTGATTACCTCTTGCTCCAATCAGCTCTCCCTTCTATCATCCTCCCCCCCTTATCTCCTTCCCCTATTTTCCTGTAGGGTAAGATAGATTTTTATACCCAATTGAGTGTGTATATTATTCCTTCCTTAAGCCAAATCCAATGCGAGTAAGATTCACTCATTCCCTCTTACCTTCCCCCATTTCTGCTCCACTCTAAAAGCTTTTTCTTGTCCACTTTATGTGAGACAATTTCTCCCATTCAACCTTTCCTTCTCCTCCTCCCAGTATAATCCTCTCTCAACCATTAATTTTAATTTTTAGATATCACCCCTTCATCTTCAACTCATCATTTACTCCCTCCCTCCCTCCCTCCCTCTCTCTCTCTCTCTCTCTCTCTCTCTACCTATCCATATTTTTCCCTCCAACTATCCTAATACTGAGAAAGGTCTCAAGAGTTACAAATATCATCTTTCCATGTAGAAATGTAAACAGTCCAACTATAATAAGTCCCTTATGGTTTCTCTTTCCTGTTTACCTTTTCATGCTTCTCTTGAGT